GCGGGGCCGTGCGCCCCGGCGGGGGAGGGCTTCCTAACGCGGAGGCAGCTTAGCGATTTGGTGTCCTCGCAGGTGCTTCTTGGCGTCGAGTTTGCAGAGTTAGCGTGAGGTGTCAGTGAGGACGAGGAGCGAAAACCAAACCCAGCGCCAGAGTGCCAACCGGCAGGCTTCCGATAATTTGAATCGGGGCCTCAGCGCGCCTTGGGTCTTCCAAGTACTTTGAATGAGTGTGTAGTTCAGGAATTTCATCCAAAATCATGTTTCAACCCTAAAAATTTTATTGGGCTGAAAGGAAACAGGTTAAAAGAAATAGTAGGCTTATATGCAGACTGTATTGGAAGTTAATGCGTCCTAACTACAATAGGTTATTGCTATGATGAAGAACATTGAATTTAGTTCAAAAAGTGAATGAATTCCATTCTTTTTTTTTTTTTTTTTACTGCATAAAGCTACGTAAGGAACTCTAAATTTAGGGGCTGGATTCTGTGGGCCCCAACTGCAATGAAAAAAGTCTTAGAAATAAACAGTAGATGGTTCTGAGAACGTCTCAGAGTTCCCAGGTAATTACAGCTCATTGATTAGACAGGGATTCTCATGTTCATACTGTTATTTACTGGGTAGTTTCTTTAGAAATGGCTCGCCAATTAGAGGTATTCAATGGCTTTCTTACCTTGAACGAAAACTGAAGCCAAAAACAGCGCCAGAAAATTTATTTGAAAAGTGAGAAGATAGGGAAGGAGCAGCTCTGCAAAACAAACTTGGGCTGAACAAAGAGAAAAAGGATGCAATCGAAAATGAACACGCAGGACTTGAGAGATGTGTCGTGGGCTGAGAATGTGAACTTCCAATGATGGCATCTACTTTTACACCTTGCACATCAGGTGCGAGCTCCGGAAGTTGTACAGAAGGGGACCAGGTGCTGCCCTGGGACCTTGTCATTGACAGGCCCTGCTCATTTCCCCAGCCAGCTTTGAGGGGCTTATATCCCATATTGTTATGCACCTTTCCTAAAATTCTTGGTGTAGGGAACACAGACGTTCACTTTCAGTAAATATTTGAGAGTCTGTTCAGATGAAACTATCTTTTTTTTTTTTCTCCGAATGCCTTCAGGACAGGTTTGTCTGGCTTAAGTTGTGGGGATCGAACCACAGCAACCTGAGCCTGACTGCTTTGTTGAAGCAGTCACTTAAATAACTGAGCTAAGGGGCAGGCCCCCAAGATGAAACTATCTTAAAAGGACATATTTTCAACTTTTTCTTTTCATGACTGTATTTTAGAGTGTGAGGATGGTTTTTCAAAGATCTAGGAGGAAAAACATGTTACATTTGAAACCCGTTAAGAACTACATGTGGAAATGCTTCTAAAATAACCAAGCTTCATGTATTTGTTTTTGTTATGCTGTGAGTTTTCAAGGCAAACAGAAAAAAGGGAGGCATGTGTCAGTGTAAATTAACTTTTCTTAGGGTGAAACCAAAACTCTTGAGAGAATGAAAAAGTTGGTTAAGATAGCTTTAATGTATAAAGGAAGACAGGTGATGTTTAGTGATTACTAAGGGCTGGGCTATGGAATTGTGAAAAATACATGATAAAGCCCAGGCATTACATTATTAAAAGCTTTTACCAGTCCTTTAGAATTTAATGTTTGTAAAGCAAGGCAAGCAATCAATACACATTGGACAAGTGTAATGTATTGGCAAAGTGCTGTCAAAAGTGAGGTGATTCAGTAGGCAGAAAGGACTTTGAGAAGAGGCTATGAGTCTTCAAGACTCAATGGTTAGGGTATAGTCGGCAGCCATGATTCATATGAGTGTTGCTTTCACTAACAATAGTTGGGTACATTTTGTAGAGTGTTGGAGAATATAAGCTCTAGAACAGCAGAAACTTAGTCTGTGCTGTGTTCTCAGCCCATGAAATAGGCGTAGAAGCTTTCAATGCTGTTTAATAAATAAATGAGTACATATTTATTTGCAACTGCTTCTTATTTCTTGTGTGAAGTGGAAGAAGAGATGGCGCTGTGTTAGGACCCGGTCTCTGAATGTAGACCTGGATTAGGCTCCTGGCTCTGTCGCACAAAGAAACAGGTTCTTTCCCCTCTTGCTAGGTAGTCCAAGCTGGACTGGAACTATTGGTGATCCTCCTGCCTCATCCTCCGAAGTGCTGGGATTAAAGATATGCTACCAGACTTGGCTTCCTAACTGTGCCTTTTTTCATGAATTAAGGTTTCATTACCAGTTTTGTGGAGTTGTTAGAAAAATTTCAAGAGTACATTTAAGCATTTGGCTTCTCTGGGACAGAGAATAAGTACTCCTAAGTGTTTTCTGTTAGGAAACTAGGCCTTGCTGTAAGGGGGAGGGGAAGAGTGAAAGTTTTGAAATGAGGAAAAGATGGACTGAAGTGGAGCACAGGGATCTCTTTAAGTTGAGGGCCTGACTGAGGTCAGAAATCCCACGTAGAGGTAGTGATGGTCACAGTCAGAAGGAGGAACAGTGGAAGGTTGTAAGAGTGGTGTGAAAACGTTGGCAGGTGAGCTTGACAATAAATGTCACGTAGACATCAGAGAAAAAGCATAGGTGGATCAGATAACATTATTGGTCAGATTTTGAAACATTTTCTAGTTGTCTATAGAACCAGTAAGGAATGTCTGTAGTTCTTTTTAGACATTAAGACAGAATTGTGTGTGGTTGAAAAGGTGGAGGAAACAGTAATAGTACTGAGGAGAGAATCTTTGAAATATCTAAAATATCAACCAAACGTAGAAAGTGACACCAAAAAGAAAAAGTAACCTAACATGGGGCAAGCAGGAGACATAAGAGTGCTGAGAAGTCTCTGATAGAGACACGTTGCCAAGTGGAAGCTGGAATCTCAGGAAGTGCTGGATGAGTGTAATAGGGGTATAAGGGTTGAATTTTTAAAGAATCATTAATATAGATGTTAGCTATGTGGAAGATGATAACTAGAAGAGATAGCCACAGGTGATTTTAGTCTATTAAAAGAGTTGTTTTCAAAATGTTGGTAGTAACAAATTGGATCCCAGGAACCATGTGATCTGCAGCCAAAGATGAACATTTGCCATTTATTTTTTTCCCCATAATTTTATTGATAAATAGCAATGAGAAAGTTTCAAATCAAATTGGTAAGACAGTTTCAATAATTAACACATTACATACATCCTTCCTAGTGGTTAATTGCTGTACAAGATGCGGACATGATATCCTAACACCATTAGAACAAATCCCTCTAGTCATTAACAGAATGTAACTATATATCTATCCCAACCACTTTGAATACACAGATACAAAGTGGACAATCATCTGTATACCCTTTTTTTTGTTAAGTTCCGTTATTTGAATATTATAGGTGTGTTAACTCAGCAAAGTATTCTAAAAGAGTCCAGTAGCCCATAATAGTATTGGGTCTTCCGCTTAACTGACAATGTTAGAAATTGTTGACCTGAGGCCCCTAAAGCTCAACATAACAGCATGGCTTTACTTCTTATATTTTGTTTTTATACTTTTCTGCTGGATGGTTAAGACCAAGGTAAAGCAGGACCTATGCAACAAGAGTTGTAGCTTTTGGGTCAGATAAGGTCAGTGAAATCCCCTCAGGATTTATCCTGAGAACATTTGCCATTTACAGAATATTAATTTTATACATCAATTAAGTGAGATGTTCCATCTAAAAATCCTCTCATCCTGTTTTAAGAAAAATTCTACTCTGGTTATATTTTTATTTAAAATTTGTAAAAACTGGAAATCTCTTTCTTGCAGAGTTGTTATACTGCAGTATTCTTAGCATTTGCTTTTTAGCTCAGATCTGAAGCACTTTCTGCCCTCTCCAGCCCCTGTGCTTGTGGGGAGTATTGAGTGGTGGATTCCTGCCTGGGTGCATTTGAGGAGGGCAAAGGAGCAAAGCTCTGGACCACTGTAGTGAGGAGAGAGTATGCGCATGAAAAGCTGCTAGTGGGGCGGTGAGGAGGCTGGCATACTAGGAAATAAGTGCTTCACTGTGTGCCTTTATTTAATTAGTCATTTACTTTGAGTGATACTGGGGAATGAGTTCCCGGCCTTTGCTCTGCATGCCCACATCCTTTTATGTTTTTGTTTTTTAAATTTGGAGACAGGGTCTTGCTCCTTTACCACAGTGTCAAAGTTGGGCTAGAATTTACAGTCCTCCTGCCTCTGCCTTCCAGAGTGCTGGGTTTTTGGGATTTTTGAAGTAAACTTTTAAGCTAAATGTACTGGTGAGTGAATTGTTTAAAAGTGAACAATGAGCCCACTTGTGTGAATCCCATCTAGATCAGTGTGTCACATTCGAACATTTTAGATCTTCATTCTGACCTTAGTCATTATGCATACCTCCCAAAGAAGATAAGCCATGAACTGATAATAGGTGTGCCTGTGTGTTGTGAAGAGGGGACAGTTTGCTGGGAGTAAAACTCCAGACCCTGCACTAAGCTACACCCAGTCCTATTTTTATTTATTTATTTATTTTTATTTTTTGAGACAGTCTCACTAAGTCCTTTTGTAGTCTGTTAGAGTGCTTGGAGTACAGATATGTGCCATTCCTCCTGGCTTGTTTTTGATTTTGTATGCATGGAATGAGGCTTTGACTACAATTTATTATTCTGTACGGTTTTTTGGTTTTGGTTGTCAAAACAGAATTTATGTAGCCCAGGATGGCCTTGAACTCATTATGTATCCAGCTTCAAAACTTGAGGTGATCCTTCTGCCTCAGCCTCCCAGATGCTGGGATTACAGGTGTGTACCATCATGTCAGGTTGTGTCACTGCTTTGTTTGACCTCTTTCATTCATCAGGTCTTTAAGGTAGTATTAATTAAGGACTTTCAGTGCTAAATGTTAATCTGTCATACTTGTTTATCCATTCTAACATTGGATAAATTTGCGTATTACAAATAGTGGTGTGATGATTTTTTTTAAATGTGCCTTATCCACTCTTTGGGGGACCCAAGAGCAGAATTGAGTCACAGAGTATGTACCTAGAAGATTTAGAAGATAAAAACCGTTTTCCAAAGTGGCTGTACCCCTACCAGTACAGTTTAGGGTTAAAAGTAGTGCATGTTTATACAAACACAGGTGTTTTTTGTTTAGTTTAGGTTTGATTTGTTTTAGCTTAGTGTAGTTTTGTTTTGTTTTGGTACCAGGAGCAGGAATTTTACTTGGAACCTTGTGCTTGCCAGGCCAGACAGGCACTGCTGCTGAGCTATCTCCCTGGCCTCTTTGTTTTAGTTTTTATTGTGGTTTTTACTATGCCTTTCCTTTATGGTGAATGAAGTTGAGAACCTTTTCATTTGCTGGTGTACATTTAGTTACTTTCTTTTTTGTTTGTTTGTTTTTGAGACAGGTTCCCACTTGTCCAAGCTGGCCTTGATCTTCCTTGTCTCAACTTCTAGTACAGTTACAGAATAATGTGCTACTACACTTAGGTGATTATCCTAAAATTAAAGTGATTTACGATCTTGTAACTGCTTCAGTGGGATTGTCTGTCTTGTTTCACTGTTTTGTACGAGGAGTTTTGTGTGTTTAGATGGTTCAGTTTTGGTCAAATTGGCTGTATCATTTGACCACCTTAGCGTTCTCATCCCCAGAGTGAAATGTAGTTACATTTTCCTGGATTTTTCTTTTCTTGGCAAAATACTCAGTACAGAAACTTTGCTTTAGCTGAAGCACCTGTCTTCCTTATCTTGTAAAACCCTTACTCATTGTTTGATGCAGTGCATGTTTGTGTGTTTAGGTGAGTTTGTGTGTACATCTATTTGGTCCCTGTACTGTTGGTTAAATTATGTGTTTTATGCTGTTTTGCAAAGTAAAAACCTAATGTGACCGTGTTGAAAATTACAGGATAAGTGATAGTTTCATTTCCAGGGTGTGGCTGGGAAGCATTGCACAGGGCTGCAAGTGCTCATCATGAGAAAACGCGGGCATGAGGAGAGGGGAGTGGGTGACATTGGAGTGTAAGGGAAACTACAAAGGTGAAATTAAAATTCTCAACTCTGGATGTGGAGAGGAGACAGCTCTGTGTATTTTGTAGTGAAGGTGGTGTCATTTTCTGACAAAATCTGACTTGATTTAAGAACTGCCAGACAGTTATAGTCCATATTCCTGGCCACTTGGCAGGCTGAGTTAGGAGGGTCCCAAGTTTAAAGCCAGCCTGGTGGATATGGCTTTCAGTGCAATTGCATTCATGTTCACACCTTTGGATAAGCAAATATTCTATGTCTCTGTGGGTTGGGCACATAACTCTTGTCTGCCTTTCATGTTACAAGAGGGTGAATTAATAGTTCCTATTTTAAGAAAGATTGTTTCATGAAGCTTGGAAGTAATTTTCTCTTCCAGATATACAATGAGAAAGAATTATTACAAGGGAAGTTGGACCTTCTTAGTGATACCAACATGGTTGACTTTGCGATGGATGTGTACAAAAACCTTTATTCTGACGACATTCCTCATGGTAAGTATTGTCATTTGATCTGACGCTCACCTTGTGGCTGAGAGTATGTATTAAGTTTTGTGGGCTGCAGGAGAGCAAAGACTGGTAATGCTGGGTGATTTTAAAGTTCTTAGGGTGGAAGATAATGTAGAGATTATGAGATTTTAGAGAACATTGTTTTCTTCCTGCAGACCTTCAGTTCTTTTGTATGATGGCCCATTGTTCACTTTCACAGTAGACCCCCCTTCCCTTTCTTGTAGTGTAGCTTTAGTTTCTGCATGGCTCCCTAGGACTAGCACCATTCGCCTGGAGAGTTGCTTAAGTGAGTCAGATTCCAGGGTGGTCATAACTCAAGTTGGAGAATGCCTAAAACAGGTTCCTGTAAAACAATTTCTTCTTTAGTATCATTTTTTTTTTTTTTTTTTCCTGTATGTAAGACAGGGTCTACAGGGTCTTACTACACAGATTGGACTTGTAGTGATCCTCCTGTTTTCGGCCTCCCAAACATTGAGATTACAGGTGCACGCCACCATGCCCAGTCTCAGTCCCTTCCTCAGCCCACCCCAAGGGCAGGGCTGGCATGGCACACTGGGGCCAGACCTGGTCCCTGCATCTGGCTAAGCAAGTGCTTTAATCCATTGAGCTATCTGGCTGGCCCCAACAATTGCTTCTTTAAAAATGTAGTCATAGCTGGGCATGGCAGTGCACATCTGCAGTCCAGCTCTTGGGAGGCTAAAGCAGAGGATTGTCATGAGTTTGAGACTAGCCTGGAGTGCAAAGTGAGTTCAAGGCCAGACTAAACTATAAACTACATAGTAAAAGCCTGTCTGCACAAAAATGAAACAAAAACTCTGCCTTCTAAGTTTGGGAACTATGATAGCATTGTTTCCATTGCTTAGAGAAGTATAATTTACTTTGTTTAAATAGCCATGGTGTTTCTCAAAATTTTGTCACAGATCCCCTTCTGTGTTTAAGAAATACTATTCTAAAATATAAATGAGTATAATACAGTTTGTAATGGAAAAGGTAAGATATTTCTTACTATCTTTTTCTCTTTTTGAGATGAAGTTTGCTCCGTTTTCCTGGCTACCCTCAAAGTTCAGGGCTGAAGCTTTACTGCCTCAGCCTCCTGAGTGACTGGCACTACAGGCATGTGCCACTGTACCCACCAAAAATAAACTGATTCTTCAGTTTCTTAGAAAAACCTTATTGGAGACTGGGGAGATGGCTCATGGAATAAGTGCTTCCCTGGCAAGCACAAGGGCCTGAGTTCAATCCCCAGTTCCGCCAAAAAAAAAAAAAAAAAAAAGAAGAAAAACCTTATTATTATGTGGGTGTTTCCTCAGCCTTTCACAAGGTAATAAAAAGGAACTATAGAATTTGGTATAAGAGATTAAAGACTAGATTTATAGCAAAAACCAACCATTGACTAGATTTAAATCCCACTTGACCTAGTTGAACAAATTAATGACTACCATTTTTGTGCTCTGTGTACCCCTCCTCCAGTGGCTGTGTGTACTCCATTTCCCTTAAGTCTAGACAGGGGTTCCTTCCTTTATGTGCTTCTGTAATGCTAGGAAAAAGGAACTGTGACTCTGGGAAAGAGGGCAGTTGGTGGCACTGGCATGTGAGTGTATCTGAGATGAATAAATATATGTGTAGTTTAGGTAAATGGAAATTTTCCAGACATTGTCATGGTGGGCAATAACACATTTAACATTCCTTAGCATCACAGCATTCTTTCGCATTTCTTACTAGCTTTGAGAGAAAAAAGAACCACAGTTGTTGCACAGCTGAAACAACTTCAGGCAGAGACAGAACCAATTGTGAAAATGTTTGAAGATCCAGAAACTACGAGACAAATGCAGTCAACCAGGTGACTTTTTTTTTATCTTTTTTTTTTTTTTTTTTTTTTGAGACAAAGGCTACTGTCACTGTGTAGCCCAGGCTGGCCTCAGACTTGTGGTAGTCTTCTTCCTTCACCTTTCCAAGTGCTGTGGTGACAGGCATGCCCTGCCTCACCTGAGTAGGAAATCTTTTCTTAACTTGAATTCTAAAAATTCTCTTTCCTGGGTTAGTACAAACTAACCCAGGTTTTATCTATCATTCCATAATAAGTGTTCATGGCTTAGATAATTCCTTCATCTGATAATTTCCCTCTATCTCTATTTGGTAGGGGCAGTATCCTTAGAAGCCAGGGATCCTGGTCCATTTTAGTTTGGGGGACAGGGTGTCATATGACTTTACCCAGGTCAGCTTCCATCTTGCTGTCATCCTGCCTCTGCCACGCCACCTGTTCCTCAATGAGGGCTCACACCTATCATGGAGGTCTGCAATGACTCATTGTCTTAGTTACTCTTCTCTCATTGCTGGGACAAATATCCAACACCCAAATTGAAGGAAGGAAAGGTTTATTTAGCTCACAGTTACTGGAGGTTTCAGTCCATACTCAGCTGGATCTAAGGCTGCATGGCATGTAGCAGAAAGCAACCTTTCATGGAGGCAGCAAAGAGCAAGAGCGTCAAATGGAGGAGTAGCAGCTCCTCAGGCCACTAGCTTCTCTTCCCACCTTATATTGTAATGCAGATTAACTGCCCCAAGACTGCATCAGGCTTTGAAGGGACACCTGTGCACAAACCATAACATTCATTTTATTCTGAGAGTATAAAATAGACATATCATGATAGACGTATATAAATGTATATTTGGGATCTTGGTCTAAGATGTGCTTTATCTAAGTATGCATGTGTGTATGTTTCTGTATATGCACACAGCATAAAATGGCATAAGTATGGCAGTAATATTGCTGCCCTCTCAAAATTACAGTATCTTGTTAATACCCTTCCAAGTCGCAAATAAAACTTTAGAGCCAATTTCTACAATTCTAGTTTGAACACATACTATACAAGTAATGGTGCAACATGACAAAATCTTTAGCAGTTTATCAAGTGAGTATATCGGCAGGCTTGCCATTATGATAATATTAATTTTAAACTTTATTTTAAATTACTAGGCCCCCACAGGCTTTAATTAGTTAGAGTATTAAGACAGCTAGGGCTTTCTTTGGAAACCAAACACATTTTTTCCTAGCTAAAGGGCAGAGAAAAGACAGTCACATCAGTACCCGCCCTTCCAGGACTTCAGGCAATGTGAGAGATCTGTCAGCGGCAGTGCCTGGGTCCTGGCCTCTCAAGCACACCGGGACCATTCAGTCTCTGCTGGGGGCAAATGGTAGATCCTGTGCACTACAGGGAGTCAGTAGCTCAGGATATATGCTCTCCAGCTGTGGCAGCCAGAAATGTAACCCCTGGAAGGGGGAGCGGACAGAACAGCTACCAGAAAATCAGCTTTGCATAATGAGTAAAAAACTTTTTTAAAAATTGGGCCAGGAAGATAGCTCAGTGGCATAAGTGCCTGCCTAGCAAGCGCAAGGTCTAGAGTTTGATCTCTGGTACAAAAACAAATGTTAAATTAAGTTGAACATTTGCATGCCTAAAAATCCCAGCTACCCAGGAGGCAGGGGCAGGATGATGGCAAGATGGAAGCTGACGGCAAAGTCATGAGACCCTGTCCCCTAAACTAAAAGGGACTAGGATCCCTGGCTTCTAAGGATACTGCCCCTACAAAATAGAGATACATGGAAATTGTCAGATGAGGAAAGCTTCTAAATTGTGAATGTTTACTATAGAATGATAGTTAAAACTTGATGCTGTTTCAATCATATGCTGGATTACAGTAGAAAATGGGGGTGTTTTTTAGCTTGGTCATTAAAGACTGGGAAAAAAAAACCCATGTTGGTCTGAATAAGGACATGTTCCATTAAGCTTTCAAGTAAATGCACACTCCCCAGATGTGCTACAGCACATTCCTCCCTGGCAGCAGGCTCAGAGTGGGGTTTGATTTTTGAGGCTGTTCACAGGGAGGCAGCTGTCTCCACCTGCCTTCCTTTCCTGGTGCCTTTGTTGTCAGCTTGTCTTGTTTGCCAGGCAAATGTGAGAAAGGTGCCTTAAGTGGCACTTTGGTGAGGGAAGTAATTGCGCAGGGTGGGTGGCATGGATATTATGTGATTCTGTCCGATTTATTAATTTTGTGACTTTGCCAAAGCATTCTTCTGATGAAAACTATTGCAAGTTACAGGAGGTAAAATTTATATGTAGGAATTCTTTTTTTTAGATGTCTTTGGTATAGGATCTCACTGTGCAGCTTGGACTCATAGCGATCTCCTGTTTACGGCCTCCCCTGGGCTGGGATTACGGTGTGCACCACCATTCTCAGTCTTGGTCGGTGGCTCAGCATGCCTGGGGGCAGGGTTGGTGCAGCGTCTGGTGCTGGGGATCGAACCACAGTCCATGGGCCTGCCTGAGCAGGCACTTTGTTCACTGAGCTATCTTACTGGCCCTCTTGTTAGTTTTCATAGGGCATTAATTTGAATTTCTCACCTACAAGACTGTATCATCTAACAAAACTAACCGTACCACTCTATGGGTCACCACCTACAGAGACTAACCTTACTAGAAAAATAGAATGTTCTTATTTTATTGCCTAAAATACTTAGTCTTGTTTTATATGTGAAACTGAACATGTCATTTCCAGGTACAGCTAATGAATGCTTATTTTGTTTTCTGTGGCCTAAAAGTCATGATAATTTTCTCTTTTCTTATTTAGGGATGGTCGGATGCTATTTGACTACCTGGCAGATAAACACGGGGTAGGAGTTTTTTGTTTTTCACATGTTTCAGAGTGGTCATGGTCTTCGGGCTGGGGAGATAGCTCAGTAGCACAAGTACCTGCCTGGCAAGCACAAGGTCGTGAGTTCAGTTCCTGGTGGTACCAAAACCAAAAACATGCAAAGTATCATGATCTAATAAGGCTAAAGCCCAGTGCTGTAGAGAATGTTCATAGCTTACTTTAAGAAGATGAGCTTTCTAAATATAAAAAACATATGTTTTGCAAACTTTAGTTTTTAAAAGTATGACAGAAAAATGTGTTTATAATCACC